GATACATTATTGTTTACAGCTGATGCACATGCTTCCTTTTAAAATATTTTCCTCAGCATTCCCGCTTTTTTGTTTCATTGTGCTCTTTTTTCAAGGCCTAGCAATGCAGAATGACAGTTTTCAAAGCACACACGAGCTGCTGCATAAAATAGTTTATGCAGAGAAAAAAGTGTCTAAACAGCAAATCAAAAACATCAACATCAGCCTAGTTATTGAAGATTGTGTGGCGGAAACAATAGCCCTCAAGCAAGTGTCTATTATTATTCTAGCACTTTCCAAGATTCTAAATAGAAGATTCAAGGCCTTAGCAGAAGACTGCGGAAATTTTCTTCATCTCCTGGCAACGAAGAAGGCTAATAGAGTACCATCCTCCAGAAATATTACGCTTAATGTTGAGACTACAGGAATATGCATTGATGATGAGATGGTCGATTTAGAGCGAGAAGATGTTATAGAAGCAATTGAGACATCTGCATTTGCTGATAGACTTGAAAGCATTGGGCTTGATATGGATTTTAGAGAGGCACCAAGCATAGAACAAGCAAGAGACAGCACTGTTGTATCTGGGCCGCTGTCTGTTATGGATGAAACAGGCATTACTGTTGCTGTAAAGAGAAGAAGGATGATTGAAGATAGGACAATTGAGATATCCGAGACTATTTTCAAAGGAAATCTAAGAAATGTTTCTGATCTACTAAGAAGAGAGCAAGTTGTACCTGAGAATATATTTGAATCAAGTATTTGGATAGATCCAAGAGTTGAAAAGTTATTTGAAAAGATAGCAGCAGAGAGATCTGTTGTCGAAAGAAGTGCAATCGAAGAACAGAGACACGCATCTGTGGGATTTGAAATGGAAGCACCTGATTTTTCATTTTATCCGGTTGAAGAAGCCAAACCTCAGAAAGAAGAGATACCCAGTGTTATTTTTGATATTTCCACCCTTCCTGACACTTTTGTATTTAATTCCATTGTACAGTACTACAACATAGTCGATAAGGCATCTTCTTTTATATCACTGCTAGTTCATGCTACACACGGCAGAATTACTGCTTCACAAAGTGTGCCTTTTGGAAGCATTGAATGTAGGATAGTAAAACGAGAACTGCAATAAACAGCCACTCATCACACTATAATGTTGTGTTTTAATTTTGGTGTTTTAAGCTCCCTTATGTTCAAATTGATCATCAATACATTGTATATTGCCTTAACATTGGTCTATGCACTTATGGTATTTGTGTTGCTAGGTAAGCTTGAGGAATTAGATCCCTTTGAGCACCTTAATATTGGGCATAGTAAAGTAGAGACGGTCGTTTTGACTACTGTTTCTTTTTGGATCTTCTCCATTCTTCTCTTCTATAGTTATTTTTACTCTTTGGCACTGGCAAAAAAGAAGCATTTGAACAAACAACAGTAAAGTATATACTGAAAGCGCATGTTCTTGGCCATGCTAGTGAATAGTCCTTCTTTCAATTGATGGTGCTTTATGGAATTTGGGCAAAACTTAATTTACTGGCTTGCTAGCCAAACACAAATAAAAGCATATTATCTTAAATGTTTATTTAAGCAAACTCAGCCATTCTTCTTTGAACCTCATTCTTGAAATCTGAACTGGATGTCACCTTTGAAATCTTTTCGGCCTTCTCTTTGGCAAATGCCTTTGCTTGTGCTTCCCTGGCTTGGATGTCCTGCTTTAACTGATCACATAACTCTGCGTACTGCCACCCAAACTGACTTAGCAGCGCTCCAAGGTAGATATACTTCCTGTCAGGATCAGTAGTGAGCTTTCGATGAGCCTTGGGAACCATTGTTCTCTCTACATTCTCAAACTGCTTGGGTATTCCTTCATACACAAAAATTCTGTTGGCAGCCTCGTTGCCTCTGACAGTTCTCCTGCAGGCCATGTTTCTAAAGACCTTTCTAAAGTACTTGGATGGCTCCTTGTAATGAAAGGCACCCCTTGCTGGGTTGACTACATTCCTCTTGTTCAGATAGCTCTTGTACTTAGCCACATGACGATGCATGGGACCCGTGAAGACCATGCTTTCGGAGCAGACAACATGTATAGTGCATCCCTCCAAGTGCCTTCTTTGCTACAAAAGCTGCAAGCTTTCCTACAACATGGTCTGTTCCATCAATTACCAACTCTCTTTGCATGCAGGGTGCAAAAATTTTGCAAAAATTTTGGTAAGAGGTCCAATGGAGACAAAAAGCGAAATGAGAAATATTGTATATTTGAATGCATATGTGTATGCCAATTTGTTTCTGAAAAATAATTGTTGAAGCTATAAAATATAAGGTATTGGAGTGTTGTAAAAACAATAAAGCCTACTACTCGTTACATTTGCGATGCATATAACCTTCGAATACTTTGGAACGATAATATTAAACGACAGCAATATTTTGTATAGCATCAGTGCTTTCATTGTTCACTGACCAGAAATGTCTTGTTTCACCTAAAACCAAAACTTCAAAAGATGGCTATTTATAGGAGGGCAGACAGTTGAAAAAGCTAAAACCACAGCATATCACATTATTGATCGGCCAGATTTATGTCTATTTGTCTGATTCGAATGTGTTTTAAAGCAATACATTGAAGGAGTAAAAGCTGATATTTCTTCCAATGAACAGGAAATGGTTATTTTCAAATATAAACAGAAAAGCTTTATTGAACATTCAAAAGAAACGAGAGGCCGGAGATACTCTTGTATGTGCATCGCTTAGTTGCTTAAGGCTGTATTTTCTATGGTATTAAAATGGAATTGGATTGTGAACACAGAAAAGCAAACAAAATGCCAATCAATCTGCGACAGGTGTAGAAATGGCAATGATGTAGTCCAATACCATTAGAAAGGCGTCAGAGACTTTCAATGAATATCTAATAACTATAGCTTACAACAGAACTTAAACGTATTTTCTGCCAGAAAAAGTCACCACTACTTTCATTTGAAAGTAATAATGTGCCATCATCGTATGCTCTTATTAACGCATCTTCTTCTTTCCAATCAGGAAATTAAACAGTAATCCGATCAGCCTTTGAAACAGAAACGAAGCCATAAAAATAATAAAAAATCCGATATAGGAAAGAATTGTGTTCTTTTCAGGAAGCTTGTAAAAATCAAGCCCGAACACAAACTGATGTGTCATGAAACTGGCGAAAAACTCTGATTTACGATATGTCTTTACAAAAAAGTATGTTCCAGAAAAGGCTAAGATTAGCGATGCAGTCTTGTATTTCGATAAAAGATAGAACTTTGATATGAACGCCATCACAAAGTATGACAGAACAAACTCAAAGACGCTTCTAATAATAAGATTGGTAAACAGGGACGAGCCGATGTGTGCCACAATCGAATAAAGAATCCTGCCGAGTAGTGATCTAAACTTGTTTGTGGGTGAAACATAGGCAATATGCAGGCTCATTGAAATGATTATTGGAATTACAGGAACATAGCTGATAAACGAGTGTACATGCCTGTAAAGTCCATCCCTATCAAAAATACTCCTAAAAGCATCACTGTTGCTGATGGAAGTGTTTTTTTCTGAGGAAAGTGTTGTTTGTATCAACTTTTCAAACTTTATGTTAATTTTATTAAATAGATTGTAAAGAAATAGTATTTGAGATAGGACAATTGAAATATCAAGAGTGTTCACGCCAACCAGGGCAATGTAGATGCAGATTGAGGGAATGTACGACACATGAGCATAGTTGCTATTTAAAATCTCCTGCACACTTTTAAAGAAGCTTTCATTTAATGAGTCCAGACAATATTCTGCCAGAAAGTAAATCATCCTAGAAGGGTAAAACCAAAAACTAGACCTAGGCTGAAGTAAAGATATGTACATTGACGCATAAATGTGAGCTTAACCGAACTGCAATCTGTAAAAGACAGAAAATAAACATTGCAGCTGTGATGTAAATTCCGCCAAATTACACAATCTTGCCGATAGGGCCATTAAAACTTTTATTATCACAGTCTTTTACTGTACTTCCAACCAGGAGAAGGCCCACAAGCAACCCTACATTCTAAGCCGATCCTTAGACATTAGGCTGCAAATCCCAATGCAAGAGCACAAGACTACTTATATTCTCTGCGCCTTTCTTCCCGTACCAAAATTTTTGCAAAAATTTTACAACCTCCCTATGCTTCAAGTTGTCAACAGAGACACATACGCCATAAAGCGATTTCTCTTTCAGAACAAAGGAATAGTTGTTCCATTTAGTAAACTGGGCGTGCATCCCGTGCTCAAGATCGAGATGGCAAAGCTTAACAAATGTCTCAAAACTCTTGTCAGCAAGAAGTATGTTGAGAAGATCGGAAACTGGCAACATGCCTGGTATTTTGTGACTGAAGATGGACAGAAAAAGCTTAAAGAAGAAGTTGAGAAGCCAATTGAGGGAGAAAAGAAGAATTTCACGATATTAAGCATTAAACAGACTGAAACTTACCAGCTTCGTACTATTTTGACTTTTGTACTTTATATTGTTTTTGTGGCATGTTGTTTAAAGATATAATGACATGTTTGTGCGGATCCAAACACAGCACAAAATAGTTTGAATTAAAGCTATAGTTGCTTACAAGATTTTAGAAAGCTTGTTGATAGAGCCAAAAGGAATCCAGCTTTGAAGCTGTGCCCCTACAAGCTTGTCAATTTGGATAAATCTCAATATTCGTGAGAATCAGGTCAGATGTCCAGATACGAGAATCACCTGATGTATTAAAAATGGTATAAAAGGAAACCAAGTATGCTGTAAATGATATTTTAATTTATCTAAGATTGGTGCTGGTAGGCATATTTCCTGTTGTACAATGACATCGCCGACTCTTCAAGCCTAGAAAGGACCTGAAATCCTGTTGAGCTCTCAATTATTGAAGCAGCCTCTACAAAATCTAGAATGTTTAAATAGTAAAATGCTCTACATATTTCAATGAAAGGATCCTGGGATGGCAGACACAGGTAGTTTGCATCAAATTTTTTGAAAAATTCAATAAACTCCTCAAAACAAGGATCTCCAATGAGCTTTTCGTTCAAAATAACACACAATGCATATATTTCCAATCGGAGGTTCAAAAGACCCGTTTCATTGCACTTTAAATAGATATTGAAGGCAAGCTCATACTCACTGTTTTCAACTGCTAATCTTGAAAATTCGGAAAGTGTCAAAACTATTGAAAGGCTTTTTGGTGATCCATCCATGTTCAAAGCTTCAAAGACGTGAGAATTAGAATTGTAGTGCAATAGCGCCTCATTCCAAAGCTTGTTTCTAGTCAAGTAAAGAAGTCTGAAAACAGGATGATCGTTTTCGGGACATTCATTTTGCTTTAGAAATTTAAATTCAAGGGCCCTTCCCTGAATGACATGTCTGTCAATTTGATCGTTATTTTCTTCTAACGAACTTAGAAGGGATGCGTACCTTGCAAGTATCTCAGTGTCGCTAACATCACTCATAAGGGCAACTATCTTTCCAAGATAGACGTCAATTTTGTCACAGACATTCTTTGCATATGCATCGTAAGCGGATAGGTCCATGCTCTTTAATACATCAATCATCCTTCCAACATCCTTCATTCTGGAGTATATTGAAAATAACGCAACACTGGCCTCATTTGTAGAAGCTGGATCTGTGCACTGGTCTAAATATGAGCACAGCTCCTTTTCCTTTTCAGCATCGTCTTCTATCTTTAGAATAGAATCAAGGTCCTTTTCCTTTTTCTTACCAACTATTTTCTTCTCATCTAAAGTTCTAATCTCGTTCTGTGCAGTTTTAATCCCACTTTGAGCAGCAAACTGGGAAAGAAACTCGGAAGCAGCAGAGCTCATTGACTTTGAGGATTTGATGCGTTCCTCGTTGAAAAAATCGCGTAAAAACCGCGGAACTTCGTTATCTTCAAAGTAGGAGACATATTTCTTTATCTCATTCATAAGCTTTCTGAACAGCTTCTCAAAATTCTTTTCTGCATTCTTTACCTCGTCAACTTTCGAAGATAACTCCATCAGCTTCTGTTCCCGCTTTGAAAGCTTCTCGTGTACTTTCTCGATTATCGCAGTTGTTTTCTTTTTCACTTCCTGCTTTTCCTCATCTAGGCTTTGGAAAAATCTAGACATGGGTAAGAGAAAATACAAATGAAAAAGTGTAAATTTGATGTTCAAATGTTTGTATCAGTAGCATTCCTCGTCTTTATCTATCTAGTTGTGTATTCTCAAATTAGAGCGTAATTTGCCTTTGGCTTTCTTTTTTTGGCCGCTTTCTATTTGGCTATGTAGGTTCGAGTTTCCACCAACCTTTGGAAACGCTGGGTTATTCTCAACATTTGGCTGATCTGGCTCCTTCTTATCACTATTATCATCGCTCTTATTTGGATTCTCAGCAGGCTGCTCATTTGGACTTGGCTGGCTAGGATCATCTTTTTGAGGGTTGTCTGTGCCGGTGGATTTCTCAGAGTTATCGTGACCTGAAGGCAAATTCCAAGAGAGAACACTCGAAGCTATTATCAAAATCATGTATGCAAAAGTAATATACAACAGCAGCAGTTTTATAGAAAGGTTCTTCATGTTTGTTTGATATTACTTTGTTTTGGTAGCCCCAAATATGATGCATCATAACACTTGTTTCATAACCGTAAACCAAGCAACGCTAAAAATGAAATTTCAGTACAGTTATGCTTTTAATCAAAAATGGAAACCTAATCCAATTGCATCCCAAGCCCCTTGCCCCTTGTAATGCACATTCAAGTCATTGAAATCACTGTATTATATGCAGCCAAGCATGTTCACAAATTTAAGAGCTGCAGGCTTAATTTTCAAGACTGGGAAACACAAAATTTTCAAGGAAAACCATCGCAGGCCTAAGTTGAGGATTTTCAGCTTCGACAAATATTCTTTTTGCTATTCTTGCTATGGGTTCAAATGAATTTAAAAGAATGTACAGCTGGTTTAGGTCTTTAGCCGTTCTAAATAGCTCAGGATGCATCCTTAAAATCACTATTATGGTATATAGCACTTTTACACAGCTTTTAGATGACACTTCAACACTAGCTTCACTGAGTCTTGGAAGTATTGGCTTTATGTAGTCTTCGTCAATCCTGCTGTCCTTCAGTGCCTTTAAAAGAAACAGCAAATATCCTTCTGAGATACAATTTTCCTTCTGGACTGTTGAGGCGAGCTTCGGATAGAACTCGTCGTACTCAATGTTGAAATGACACTTCAACTCGTGTATAAACATGAGTGTTGAAACTACTAGCGATTTGTTCTCAGTATAACGATCAAGCTCGTCTAGGAAAATCCTGGGGTCTCTGATAAATTCAAATAGATCCTCGATTCTGTCAAAAAGTTCAGCCGTGAGGTTGTTCTGGAAGATTGATTTAAGGATTTGGTCTATGCAAATCTTTCTGGAAGTTGGCTCTTCCACAGATGCTCTCTTGAATCTATCTATGGCTAATTTTATTTTACTTAAGTCTGTGGAGTCCCTTAACTCTTGCAATCTTTGAAAAGCATTTTCCATTGGGGCCACTGAGACCACAAATAAATCAAAATGTAAACGGGGGAAATCAGGATTGTTTAACGCAATTAAATACAGATGGCTCAATTGCACATGCCATCACAGTTCTATTGGTTATCCTCGTCAAATATTATGTCTGGTGATATGCATTATAAACATTACTTGCTCAAAGTTTTGACAGTGCATTGGAATACGATGGGTGTCAGGTGAAGAAAGCATATTATTAACTGCTTGGAATACTATTTATTTAAAGCTACTGATATCGCCAAATTTAATATCGAAGTCTTATCTAAAAGAGGTTGGTATCAGCCATTAGCTTTATACATTTGTTAATACATTCCTCTACAAACGGCTCGCAGTATGGTTCAAAGTTGCAATTAAAAAGAAAAAAATAGCGCTCTTTTCGGCTGGACTCTTCCTTTGCGTAATAGCTCACAGTGTTTGGTTCTTTATTAGTCACTATAACGCACATGTCCTTTCTAAAGCAGCACTTAAGTATCTTCTCTCCAATGAATGCGATATTGATTATCTCGCCCTGCAAGCTGTGAACCCACACTCTACTATACTTATCAACCGAATAGATTCTGTCGTTAATAATCTCAAAATCACATGGATGGGAAAGTACACCAAACAAAAACTTGGGAGTTGTTTCTATCACAAAGCAATCTCCGAATGTGTCTATGAAATAAACAGCATTTCTATACTCGACCATTTTAAAAACAGCCTTTTTGAGTTTTTGAATGAATATGGATTGCTCATCTACTATCTTTACCAGATTCTTTTGCGTATCAACTGCATAGTTCATTGCCTGCACTGGATTATTACTTTCCGAACTACTCTCTCCTTCATTCACTACATCGTCCATCTCGGACAATTGAAAATTTTACAAAAAACTAACAGGTGGAGCAGTGGATATTTGCAAAGCGTTAAAAGTGTCGTATCATTGCCATTTTCGTACTATTTAGAAACCGGTTCGTAGTCCTGTTTCTGTTTGGGTTAAGTATAAAACTCTATGTTTTACCGAAAAGTTTTATCCATGGCCAAAGACTCTGGAAAAAGCTCCTCTTCAGATATGGAAAATAGCAGTTATGCATCAGACGAATCAAGTGCAGAGCTGGACACCTCAGGTACACTAGACAAATCAGAGGAGAGTACCTCTTCGGGAAGCTTAGATTTAGAGATCAAAGACTATAAACCAAAAGCATCGGATATTTCTATTTTACTATCTCAAACACCGTACATTTCTGATCCAATATTGTTTCTGGATAAACTCTACTGTTGTAAGGTTCTTACAAGTGGAGATCTGATTTTAGCAGCCTGCGGGATTGCTAAGTACAACAATATACGTGGGAGCCTGACTAAAAGCTGCAAAAAGTCTCTTAGCCTACTTATTGAAAAAGTAGAAATCTTGAAAATATTGATTTTCTCTTTGCTCCAAGAATTTCAAACATTCCACCACAAGAAGCCTACAGGCTGTACTTAAGTATTTCTGATGTTGATTTTAAACAATGCATTGTTATTTCTAGACTGTGCACGCTCCAAAAGGACGAGGTTGAGGATGTTTCTAGAGCATTTCCTGAATTTTCAAAAACGGACATTAGGCAGTTTCCATACAATCCCGAGGAGGTTTTGTTTTTACATGCAAAGCATAAGCAAAATACTGAAATCTACGGAAATCCAGCAAGAATTTACCTTCTGAGCAAGTCCGAATTTTTAGAATTTCTAAGGCACTTTGAAAAAGAGATTCAAAAATAGTGCGAGGCTTTTCAATTAAACGAATGAGCCCACACCGTTGGCAAATACGAGATACTTTTAAGTTAAACTTTAAGCATGTACTATGAGAATTGGTGCTGCTAGATGAAAGCCAATTTATTTATAGATCTCAATATCACTGCTCTGCTTCGGATCATCCTGTTATTTAATTAAATACAACGTCTATTTCCAGTAGAATATTATTACTATAACCACTAATGTATAAAGCAAAACAGTAAGGATTATAGACGTCTCTGATTCAATGCCAAGGGGAGCCTTGCCCTTCAATCTGCTTCTAACAATGTCTATAAAGGTATGCTTCCGCCTCTCTTCGGCATACTCAATGGCTTCTTTTTTGCTTTTCAGTATCTGGTTTTCCTTATACTTTGTATAATCTTTAATTTTGAATATTTTCGTGTTTCTATTCACAAAGGCATTGATTTGATCTCTTGAAAATTCATCAAACAGCCTCTTTTCATTTTCGCACGTTTGACAGGTGGTAGTTTCCATTATCGAACCAGCCCCATGATGAGTAGCACCAAGTGAATGACCAACCTCGTGTGCAATCTTTTTGGCAATGAAATAGTTTGAATCAGATGCAGATGCAAATACAACTGAATATGAACTATCAAGTCTTGTGCTTCCACCAAAGAATGTCATTCCGTGAATGATCTTATTTCCTGTATCGTTTACCCCATAGCTATTCTGTGATATTAGCATTACCAAGTCACTTTTTGACAATGCAGTTTGCAAATTAAAAGGCGAAAATCTGATTGGTTCGATGTTTTCTTTAAATGCCAACAAAGGCCCGTTTTCGTTGTTTATAAAATCTATCTTATCTTTAATATTCAGTATTCCTACCAATCTAGGTTCTATGGACAGCTCACTTTCACTAAATATGCTCTTGACATTGTTAAATATATCAATTGTGTTGCCATTGACCAATGCCCCGTGTTCTTCGACTCTTTTTGAGTCGTTGAATATAAAAATGTCGATTTTGTTTAAAGATTCATTTTTCAAATCAAAATTCGCCTGATTCAAGCCAACCTCTGAGAGTTCTCCATCAAGAGGTGTCGGCTCGTAGCTGCTAAAGTGAAAGGAGCTGCCCAGAAACGTTTTTGGCCTAATTATCGCAGTGCTTTTCTGGCCATCAATCTTAATTTTGTAGGACTTGTCGCGATATAGAAACTCTAGTTCATTGCTACATGAATTGTAGAAGCCTAATGCCTTGCTGAATATTCCAGTGATTTTGTAATGGCAAGGATCCTGAAACATGCTTATGGCTGAGGAATACGGATGGTTTGATGCATTTAGAAATATTTTAGATCCATTATTCGTAATTACGATTATAAAGTTTGTATTGTTTTCAGGCTTTACGATTTCATTTCCATTTTCATTGATAAATTTTACTTCCAACAGAGTAAAAGCATGTATAAAGTAGATTAAAAGTGAACAGTACATGCCTTGTTTGTTTGTCATTAGTTTGTAAATGCTCCAAACTACAAACATTTGAAAACATTTAAAACAATAAAAATAGTGGACAGAAGTACTGTCTGAGATATAGTCGAAGAGCTGTAGGCTGATGAAATACAAGGGCTTCAACTAAATAGCACCACTGCTTCTATTCAACAGTAAATAGAAGGCCATCCAACCACATAGCACAGTCATCTTTTAATAACGGGTAGGTTAAACAGAATATCAACAAAGCCGTCCAATCCAATATCTGGGTCTTTAAGCTCCATTTCTACTTCAAATACTTTCGAATCGCCATTTTCCATCCCCTTTGAGGCCTTGGTAAAATCAAATGAAAATGGACCTGACTGGCACGACACTCTTTCTCTTGTTCGTGTAAATGGATTTTTTGCATTGAAAAAGTCCCTTGCTTCAGCCTTGGTTTCCTTACTCACTGAAATTCTAATGTCATACTTGAACTCCGGTAAATAAATGTCAAAAGATGACAGCCGCACTTTCTTTTCATATACTGTGCCTTCGGGGGATTCAATTCGTCTGATTTTATTGCATATTGTCACTTTATCGCAAATATTGTTGGTTCGCTGTCCCTCCATAATTGTGTTTTTAATTTGTGCGAAGTCCTGCTTGTCAACTCCATTTTCAAAACAAAGCTCGTTGGGCAGCCTTGAGAAGACAATGGGATGCTCTACTTGGTAGTTTATTCTCTTTTTGGTTATCAGGTTGGTAATTCTACCCAATCTTGCCTCAATTTCAATCTCCTTGAAGCTGGGCAGCTTGAGATGCTTGTAGATCAACTTTTTGAAAAATTCATGCTTTGTACAGAACAGAACATTTGGGAGTGCCATGCTTTGGGGCTGTCCTATTCAAAATATATCAATAAAGCTGAGTTTTAAATATGACTTGCAACATCAATAACATTAGTTAGCACAGTCCACCTTACCTGTAAAAGTATATTCAATACAATATCCAATATCGTACAAACTATAATCAAGAATTTATTCCTGAACTGACTCCATAAGCCTGGCCATTGCATTGGTAACATGAATACCCAAAATTTTGGCTTCATTCACAATCTCAATTCTAGTTCTGGCACCAACAGTAGACGCAATAGTCGCGCAATACCTTCTATTGACTGATGTCAACGCCTTCAAATCCTTAACATTATGGACCAAAACCTCCCTGAGGCCACATGGAAGAATGTCTTTGAGTATGGCCTGAGTCCTGAATCTCTTGCTTGGCATTTCCGGAAGGCCTCTATGCTTTTTTCTGACTCTATTATCAAGACCGCGGGGATGTCGCCAGGATGTTCTAAGCCTCAAATATCTATCGGAATGATATCTCTTGAACTCTTTCTTTTTGCCTTTCTCCTGCTTCAGAAGTAGGAGTGGATTGGGCTTTGTGAAAGACTCTTCCATTGAGGGATAAGTTTTTTGTAAAAATTTTCAGTTTCAACTGAAGAAGAAAGTATATGATAGAAATTAAAGAAATATGTGGAGATGTTCCGTGCTCTATCCTCCCAATGCTGTGCAGATATTCAAACTGAGTGTTACAACTTCAAGTGTTACAACTTCAAATAAGCTGTCCATAGTGCCTATCCGTATTTTGATGTGAGATCGGTAAAAATTCTTTAACATTAAAAAACAAATTAATAGACGAGTTTTAGAAACCAGACAGATTGATTGGCAGGTATCGCAAACAACCGATCAATTTTAATACAAACTAACCGCCTTTTGTTTTGGCCACTCCTTTAATTTTATTTGTGAAAAATTTTTATAAAGTTCCCATGAATGCAGAGAAGTCAACTATATTTCCAACAATTTCTCTGCAACAGGCTGGAGTGGAGCACAGGCCAGAAGCAGCGCATCAGCAGGAAATAGAGCAACCAACCTCCGAGGATACACAGAGATATCAACATTTGAAGCCAATGGGGTCCATTCTTCTTGAGTCGCCATCATGCTCTGAGCTCAGAGTCAGTTTTGACTTCGAGCCGAAGATTAAGGAAATCATGCCGTTTAATCCCATTTTTAGCTCCTCTAAGAAACGTAGTTATCTGAAGCAAGGCGATGCAAAACACAATCCAAAAAATAATACAAGCACGCATATTGAAAAGAGAGTTTTGAAATTTGAAATAAAAGATAAAAGCTTAATTCTCGACAGAAGAATGACCAAAATGGTAAAACAAAAGGCAAAAAAGTATTCGGCTTTGATTCCCTCTTCAAATACCATTGTGCTGAAATATAAAAGAAAGGAGGACATGGAAGTAGACTTGAGATCTCTGGGATTAACACCAAAAACATACATTGAAAACAAGCTAATCGTTCACAATTTATCTTTTAAAGAGACTGAGGAAAGTGTAAGTCGGTTCTTTGGTCAATTTGCAGAAGTGGAGAAGGTCGTTCTTGAGAAGAACTCAAAGGGTCTGTGTGTTGGAAAAGGCGTTGTAACCTTTTCAACGGCATTTTATTCGGGACAGGAGAAAAAGCTGTATGATCTACGAATGAATGGCAGACTCCTCAGAATAGAACGAATCAAAAAGCAGGTACTAAATAGAACTAGACTCTTCATTTCACACATCAAAAAGAACCTTAAAATTGCAGATCTTAGATCAATTCTAAAAAAGGAAGGATTTGTGCCAAAGTCCGTGAAAATAGATTTGAACGATAACAGAAATAAAGGATATGGATTTGTGGAGTTTCAGACACCTGAACAGGCTGAAAGTTTTGTGAAAAGCTATTCGAAGCTTAAAGAGCTGCTTGGGCCTGGCAGTTTTGTTGAGTATTCACAAGAAAAACAAGATAAAAGCAGAAAATAAACAGATTTTTATTATTAGCATTGCCTATTTGTTTTTAATTCTGCTGAATATCTTAAACTGTGCATGCTCGGCATAAAAATTCCTAAATTGGCGAATATACAGCAAACTTGTCTTTTCTAGAGTCTGTTCTGGGTTTGGCTTACACTAAAGCTTCATTTTTGTATTTGTCAATTACGCTTTTGCATTTTTCATAGCTGTCATAAACTTTATCTTCTGTCTTTTCAATAACCACAACAACAGTTTCATTTTCATGAAATACCCCGAAAATGAATGGCGGTGCTTTGACCAACCTTAAATGCTCAGTAAATAGCCTCTGTCCGATATCTTCAAGTCCTCTAATCAAATTAAAAAGCAGTTGAGGAGGCTCCTTATTGGAGAAAACCATTTGCTCTCCTCTAAAAATGCAAAGCATCCCCTCCAAAGATACATTGCTGCCTAGAGATGGGTCTCTCATTGGAAGGGCACATGGGAAGAATTCTTTTAAATACATGCACATATGTATCCAACCAAGTGCCCTATGTCATTTTCTGCACACAGCGTCCTTGTCTCTGACAAAATAGCCCCAGGCTAAGCTTCAATGAGCATCCAAAGCAATGTTGAGCAAGCTATAAGATGCTTTACGAACTGCAAAAAGATATACCTGAGAGAAAGGGAAATCCAAGGAATAAGCGACTTCTTGCTGTCGGATGATTCAATCTTCCATATCACAGGGAATCCTGGAACTGGAAAGACAGCTACCGTCCGAGATGTCCTCCAAAACAAGAAATTTGAATATGTGAATTACTTCTCAGAACCAGAGCTGAGAAGTATTTTAGAAAGGAGCAAGACAGAAATAATTGTGATAGATGAGTTTGACAGATATCTTGAAGAGAAGAGACAAGAATGTTTGCGACTATTGGTTTCTCTGAAAAATAAGAATAAGAAAATAATAACAATCAGCAATAATCTAAAGATGGGAAATATGAGGTTCAAGCCTTACACGGCCGATGAGCTAAAGGGAATTATTAAAATGAAGATGGAGAATGAACTTGGCAGGCACATAATGGATGAAGAGTGCATAGCATTTTTAGCAAAGAAGCATGAAAAGGCAGGTGATCTGCGAGGACTATTTAAAACAATTTTGAATGCAATATCCAAAAAAGAGATTGAAAGTACTGAAGAGAGCAGTAGCAAAGAAAACGCTAAAAATAGCATGTATATTAAAGATGGGAGAAAACCAGGTAAAGAGAGTGATAATAGCACACAAAACAAAGACGTGGCTACAAATTGCTATATTCTTAGCGTCAAAGACTTCATTGAGAGTGAAAGACAGGGTGAAAAGAGCATCCATCACCAAATCATAAGTAAAGTCAAAGAGAATGAATCGAGTAAGGCCAGAGCATACAAAAAATACTTAGCCGAGTGTGATCAGCTGTCAATTCCATCCGTTACAAAATCTGACTTCAGCATGATTTTTGACATGAATTGAAGACTGTCCATCTAGTATGTCAGATATCATGCTACAAGTATAAAATGAACAACAAATAAATGAGATAGAATTTCAGATCATTAATGCACTATTTATAGTATTTGCTTTTACCTATCAAATTTAGACATTTGCTTTTCATGTCGAAATTTGACAGCTTCATAGTGTTGCTCTCTACGTAGTTCCATGTGTATTATGCTTTCACCACCTCAACCCACTCATATGGAGTTTTCTCGAAAGACAAAGCCCAAATGAGTTCTTAGAACTGTTTCCTCAATCAGTTTACAGCTTTTTCTAATATTCAGTCGTGAGTCTCCAAAGAGACTCTCTTAAGTCCTTGTGCTATTGATCCTGTAAAGTAACGATCTTCCAGACTATTCTTGGCCTAAACACAATGCCTTTCTATGTCCTGCAAACCACGATTCTCATGTAAAGTATGACTCGCACAGAGCTGAAATACACACAAGTCTTGCACTGCTTGCTAAAAGCCAAACAAGAATTCAAAGGTACAGCCAAAAGTTCAGAACACATGCATAGCCTTACTATTTCCAAAATGAATGTATAAGGTTGCAGTCCATAGTTTTCAGGCATATTCTCCGATGTAGACCTTTTGAATGGCAGACACTTTTGGCATGGGCTTTATTTCCAGAATATACTCTAGCGCTCGTGAATAAGCCCTTTTGCTAAAACAACCGAATTGTAAGTAACCTACACGCAGATCTACTTCTTTTTCCTAAATGGAGAATCACACCGACTTATAAACACTGTCCTGTTGATTATTCTGTTTTCTATTTCACTTTTCAACGCTGCTCTATACTCTTTGTCTTCAAAAATGAATACACCATAGATCTGTTCAAATCTGTCGATCATCTCAAAAAGTACTCCTCCATTTTTAAAAGACTGGGATATGCACTGTTTCTGAACTTCTCCTCACTGTTTAACTGAAACGAGGATTTGAACAGTCTTCTAGGATCTGATGCTATCTTTTCAAATTCTGTCATTTTTTCCAGAAGCTCTCTTCTCTTCTGTATCTTATCTGCTATTTCAACGTACAACTCTTTCATAGTGCATAGTCTTTCCACCTCATTTCTCATCTCAACTAGCGATTCTTCTGTCCTAGGATAGTCTGGGGTTTTTCTGCCAATAAACATGTTGATCTCTTTGATTTCCGCCAAAGTTCTTCCAAAAATCTCATCAAACAACCTTCTCTGTTCATTTTTCAGATACTCATTATATTCTGTCATTTCTTTTAGTACACTGTCACTCAAACTATGCTCAAAACTACGAGGCTTAATATTTAATATCGACTCTCTCTTTTTTATGTCCTCAACTAAGCATTCAAATTGCTTCGTCTTTGCTTCATACTCCTTCGTTACCTTGTCTAACATTCTCTTAAGATCACAGATCCTTTCTTCATAGCTAAGCTCTATCTTTTTTGACAGCTTACAGCTGACTAGTATTATTTCATCGTAGAAATGTTGCCTTTTTGACTCAAGATCATTCATTTTTTCTAAAAGTAAGGACTTTAGATTCTGTAGTGACTCCAATCTTTTCAAGGAAATTTCAGGCAACGCCTCAGTGTTGTATTCTCTATCCATGCTGTCGACATCGACTGTGTGATTTATATCGTCTAAATCTTGCTTGATTGCCTCAATTTCTTGCTGCAATATTTCAATCTTAGACCTTATAGTGCTCCTAACTATTGATATTTTCTCATGCTCGTTCCTAAGAAATTCCCTTTTCAATGCGGAGTTGTGCATTTTTGGCACAATTGGCGCACTCAAATCAAGCTGTTGACAGTACAGCAATATTTCTGAGTGTAGTTTTTCGTTTTCTCTGTCAATCTCTTCTTTCTCATGCTCGGCCCTGGAAACTAGTGTAGAAAGTATGTCTGCCAGTTCTATAGAGTAATTTGTATTAAAACTGAACGGATCGTCTGTGAGGCTTGCTATTGGCGATATTTCTATAAGAATGTCGTACAGCTCTTCTAGCTTTTGTTTAATTGTATTCATTCGTGGGGTCAGTCAAAAAGATGAAAGTTTCAGATAGAGCCTGAAAAGCAAGATACAAAGAGCGGACGCTTTTTCTTTATTAGGAATTAGTCTCTGTAAATGAGAGTTTTGAAACTTCATTGTGAAGAAGATATTAGCAGTCTGATCTAAGAAGCCCTAACCGCTTTACCTGTGCAGAATACCGTTGAAGACAGATATGCATTTAATGTGATAGTGGCATTTGAAGCATCGATACCATCTCAAAAATCCCAGGCTCAAGAAGAGATAATGCTGAAAAGAGCAGCATTTTACATAATAGTTTTAGCATTGAGATAGTTGCGTAAATTTACTGATGCTGTCAATAATTTAAATAGACTTACACTCACTCTTTAGATTATACAAGACCTTAAACCCGGTATGGTGCTTTCTTACTTATTCGACCATCTTTCATAAAGAGCTGTCTAACACTAGAAGCTTATATTCTATAAATTCACTTTAGAGCTATTTGCTCCAATGTCACAACTCAAAACTTGATCTTTATGAACAAATGCAGCATTTCAAAACATTACCACCAGTGGGATTCGAACCCACGCGTTTTACAAACAACAGATCTTAAGTCTGCCGCCTTAGACCGCTCGGCCATAGTGGTTAACTGTTACTCTATTTAATTTTATCGTTACCGATTAGTTTGGCTAGCTTCTAAAAATACAGTAATAACTACAACTGTTGAAATCAAAATATTCTCCAGAAACAATCTTATACTATATAAAACAGGATATTTCATACATTTTTTATTTACCTCAATCCAATACTATCTCTTTTGTATTCTTTTGCCGGTGGCTCTGCTATTTTCCAGAACTTCAACGACTCGTCAGCCCCAAGACTCACAAGTGTGCATTGATCATTGGAAAGTGCCATGTGTAGCACCCTACTTTCATGCATACCAAACTGTGATATCAGCTTCATATCACTAGCTCTCCACAGCTTTAGATCATTTTCCTGAAACCCATGTCCAGTAATGATTTCCTTGTATTTACTACAGTAAATGAGCGAACAAACCTGGCTATTCATCTCAACAGACCTAATAGTCTTGCCTGCATCCACATCCCAGAACTTGATGCTCTTATCCTTTGTTCCTCCTCCAGTGGCCAGAACATTTACCCTCCATGGACACCAATCAAGTGCCTTAACAGCTGATTCATGCCCCTTTAATACCCTAGAAATAGGTGACCCACTTTTCCATATCCTCACCGTATTATCATTTGATCCACTAGCTAAATACTCATTATTGGGACTCCACTTTAGTCCGCATACCTCCTGCGTATGTCCACTTAAATATGAAGGTATGCTTGATCTAAGATCCAAGTTGCTGATTTTTCCAGTCTTTTCTCCACTACTCATAATCTTATCGCTGAATGCAATAGAGCACACTCTGGTACTATGTGGTATCCGTCTATCTACTATCTGTCCTTTTTCAAAATCATACAGATGTATCTGGCCCTTGGAATCTCCTATTGCTAAAACATTATTGAATCCTTTTAGAGATGAGATATAAGAGCTTGGGCTACTGTACACTTCCATAACCTCCTTTGAATTTACGTCATAGCAGTATACGGTGTCCCCAAGGGCAATTGCTATTCTATTACCTGTCCAATCGAGAAGATTCAAATAGTAATCGTCTATGAGTCCAGGAGCATCTAGTATTTTGAATGGACATGTATCAACTATTCGCTCCTCTATTCTTTTTGATCTTTCTTTAATGGTGGGCAGTGCGAATATGAATGAATTCCTAAATCCATCATTTTTTTCGATCCCGCCAATGTCCAGATGGTCAAATGCCATAGGGTAGAATGAGCTAAATTTGTTTAAGCAAAAATTTTTAGGCAATGTTTATATTTTCCAAATAAACAGCCAGGGAGAGAAGCTGTGTGGGGTTATATTGTTTTATATGATGCTTTTGGCGTGTCTACTTCTTTATAGCAGCCCTAACACAAATGTAAAGCTATCTCTTCAACCTGTGAATAAAATACCTATCAATCAAGTGCCTTTTGCACGACATATTAGAATGGAAATATTAAAAAATTTACTGCTTTGGAATAGCTTTACTAATACAAATGCAAATCAAAAGTTCTACAGCTATTGTAACTGACGAAACATAGCATATTGGCAGTACTATTTGTATTTTCAAGTTGGCAACAGCGTAACCTTGTGCTATGCCATTTTAACACGAAGGAAAGTGCGCATAAATGTCAAATTTCGCAAGTTTACAACTGTTAATAACTTGTCTGATCGTAACAGTTATTTAATTTTTAATGTTCATTAATACTACACTTTTGCTTGTACAACGAATACACTAAACCACGGGCAGACTTTCTGCATTGCTATTTACTGTATAAAGCTATGAAGACCAGCTGGATCGCGCATTCTTTGTTCATGTTTACCCATCCCAGAATATGTATTTCTTCCCAACAGAAGATAAGGAAAACTACAATCCAGACTCAAAGGCATACTCACCGGCAAGACTGATAAACCAGAAGAGATACAAAGTTCTAAAAGCGCTAACCATGAATAGCATGTCTAAGAAGCACGAAGACCTGCCTCTGAAGGAGAAAACAAATCTACAGGAAAAAAGCAAAATACAGGAATCACAGCCGGAAGCAGCAAAACCACAAATGAAGCCCTTGAAATTTGAAGATGAAAGTAGAAAGACATACGGGCTTTAAAGTATTTATTAAAATGTAACTGAGACCAAGCCATTCCAAAGCACCATGCTAATGCAGAACATGGCAACTTAAAATGGAAAACAATATGTTAATTTAAAAAGTTGCTTTAACCTCTTCAAATCATTAAGGCAAGTAAATTCTTTTACTAAAAATAGTCAGACTGTCTTAATATTCACTATTAAGTACTCTTTATGGCTTTAAACATTCCAGTATTGCTTCAACTATCTTCTCGGGTTCTTGCAGTCCGTTAATCTCATAAACACCTTCTTCTTCCACCTTGCTTTTATAAATTTCATAGACCTTCCTTTGAAATTCAATTTTGTCATGAACTTCATTCCCAAAACACGTTCTCTTGGAGGTTTCTTCTACTGGCACATCAAGAAAGAATGTAAAGTCAGGTTGAGGTAAGAGTTTGTCTGTACTTTTGCACCACTCAAAGTCCAGGCCTTTTGCTGTTGAATACACCGCTCCACTCAGCCAGTACCTGTCACAGATGACATGGGTCGATTTAAGCAAGTCTCTGATTCTTGTTTCCTCCTCGTATCTGTTGGCAGAGTAAAGAAGATGGATAGTGTGGTCTGAAAATTTAATTTGCTTCTTCAGAAACTTGTCCAAAAGTTTACCTGTCTCGGTGGCTCTATTTGGAAATCTGATAATAGTGCATGGCTGTAGTCGTTGCTGAAGCATCGAGGAAACTGTGGTTTTACCACTGCGATCCAAGCCCTCAAGAACGATTAGTTTAAAGCTCATGGGTGAAAAAGTGTTTTAATACAAAAGGTAATTCTTTAGCCGGGACGAATAAATCTGGTGTTTGTCTTTATTATTAATAACGTTTATTTCACTCAGCTTTTCCTCACTATCTAGAGATACCACTCACCAAGGATGGATACTGTGGAAGTTCTGCACAGCTATTTGATGGACTATCTCAGTCTGCTGCTGACTAAAGTCCACTCCATGGCCAGGATAAAAGGGAAAACCAAAACAGAAGATCTGATGTACTTTTTGAAGAGGGACAGGAAGAAGTATTCGAGAATAAAGAACCTGCTGCTTATAAACGAAGAGGTAAAAGCGCACGAAGGATTTTTGAGTGTAAAGATTATGAAAAGGAATGAGTGAGGTGGAATGACTAAAGTAAATACACGAATGAAAGTCAAATTGCGACGATGGCAGTCAATGTTAATTAAACATGCTTGTTTACACTTTTCCAGTATTAGTACAACTTTGATACACGTCAAGTGAATTAATTAAATCAAAAATTTACTTATAAAACGTAAGATGTAAGACGTCTTTCTATTTTTCTAGAGCTACTACCTGTGTTCTGTTCTTGTTTTGATCCAAGCTTAGATGTAAAAAGAAGGCTGGTAACTGCAACTATTTTACGTATTACGTAATCAATAACATTTTCTACAAAATCACCAACTTTCTTTAGAAATTCAACAACCATGAATAAGAGGTAAATGATGAACGGTAAGACACAGAGTAAGAATATTTGCATTGCAAGCATTATTATAATAACAACCATTCCTTCATCACTAACTTTGTCCGAAAACGATGAGAAAATATCATAAAACTGCCAATTAGTTACAATACAAAAGATCAGAACGAACCACTTAAACAGAACTGTAAGTCTTCTTGTCTCTTTCTTTCTTTCGAAAAGAAGCAGGTCTTGTAAAAATCCCAGCATCAGCAATTCAACAAACAAAACCCCAGTTCCATACAGGTATAAAATGTTGTAGTATATTGGTAGACTACCAGCGGGTGAAACATCTCCAATGATACTTGACATTACACCGCATGTGAATACATAGAATACAATTTTGAAGAACAAAAGACAGTATCCTGTAATAAAGAAGGGTTTGTACTTATGATAATTCTTATGATTGATCAGTAAATAAGCCAGTAGAACCACGGTGCATAAAACACCAAGATACAGATACAATCCAGTGTCTGTACTGAAAAACGTGTATATTTTTACCATTAACGGACCGAAGGGCACACTTTGTAACACTGTCAGTACATTTTTCGTTGTAAGCGCGTTTTTAGTGCCAGTACGTGTATTATATAAATCATCCAACTTATTCATAGTATTATTCATTTTGTAGGGGT